AAGTCACTCACTGTAATACTCTTTGTAATAGGAAACGGAAAGAAAGCCCAAATGTCTGTGAATAACTGGTTAAAAACAACAGTAAATCCACATGGAATACAAATATAATATGTTTAACCAGTTTTCCACCTTTATGAAAGGCAATTGGGAAGCTTTCTACATATGCATTTAGACAGGTCTCTAAGTTGTGATTGTACTAAAAAATCAAGACATGAGCTAGTGTGTGTATATCATATACATATTTTAACTGTGTATACTGTTATATTGTGTACACTATACACATAGTGTGTATATATGTGTGTGTACACTGTATTATCACGTATCCAGTAATGAGATACATATATGTATGTATAAAAGAAAACAGCAGGCAAATAACCTACATTCACATTTGCCTGCTAATGTATGAGGACATTTTAGAAGGAAACATAACAAAGTAATAACTGCAATTACCTGGAAGGCTGTAGTGGAACGGGCAAGAAACAGCTTTTGCTGTATTTTTACACCTTTTCTCTTTTAAGCTTTGTGAAGGCATTACCTATTCAAAACATAAAAAAAAAATTTAAGTTAAAATTTAAAAGTTAAAACATATCTTCATCTTACTTCAGATGTTCCTGAAAACATTTTAACACATAATACATGCAATATATATTTTCTATTTTGATTTCATCTGTCAGTTGAAATACCTTGAGAAACAAAATTAATCTTCCACTAATTAGCCTTTGTTGAGTATGGCACGAAGGGATGACAAACTCTAAAATTTCAAAAGTTCTTCAATACTCTTCCGGTCTTGACTTAAAAATGTAAGTTTAGAAAATTAGGTCATCTTGTTCTTGTTTTCATCCTCTTGGTTAATACCCATGAACCCTAGTACTAGCAAGTTGTTCAGTCAAGCTTTATTCTTGCAATACCAACGTTTTCAATGAGGCAAACATCAAGGAGACTTTCGACAATGCCAGGACAAAAAACATCCATCAATCAGGATTTCTGAAGCGTGAAAATTCTCCCTCCTGACCCCACGATTCATTCGACTTCTTTTCCCTTCTTTCTTCATGATACTCTTCCCCCCCCTTTTTTTTTTCAACTACGCAATAATTGCTCTCTTTCCTTTACAACTGAACATTTTATTTTCCAGAATAAAAACGTTTTAGTATTAGGATTGGCAAATAATTCTTCCTCAAACAAGCCCAAAGGAGAATGGCAGGGTCCTATGCAAGTAGCTGCCCGTCTTTTGGTGTAAAGATCACCGCTTTTCCGCGTCTTTCAACCTATCACAGCCGAATTCTGAAGCCAGACGACCGAGCAATACAGAGGCAAAAAGATCTTGGATAAATGTAAAATAATCCAGATGGACGCTGGCCTAACGCGCTTGCGAACTGGCATTGTGGGCTTCATCCCTCGCGCAGCACACGTCCACAACCACCTAGCTGGCTTTGTCAAATACTCTTACCTGGCTGCGTGGTCGCTGGGCACCTCTCCCCAGATCGAGGCTGCACTTGCTCAAAGTCAGGCCCGAGGGCTTCCGGCTCCCGCTGGGGGCTTGGGAAGGCTGCCGGGCCCGAGCCGCGGTCAGGTGGGGTCGGGGCTCCGGGTCTCCTCACGGTGTTGCCCAGATCCCGGGCCTTCCCCGGGCTCCGTGGCGCGCGCCAGGGCTGGCTCGAGATTACAGCTGCTTGCCCCCGCCTGAGGAATGTCGCCGTCGCCATTTGTCACGCCCGCCTGCGTGCCACTGCTGTCTGCCTGCAGGTAGCACATCTCAGACAACCACACCAGCTTCGCCGCTCGGGGAAAACAACATGGCCGCGCTCGTGCGCACTTAAGTGCATGCGCATGCGTATCCGTGCGTGCGCATGCGCGTGTATATTCATACGTGCCTGCGATAGTGAACGTGCATGGGGAGGCGCACGTGTCTTCTCCCTCCTGTGCCCAATGGGAGATGCACTTTTAGAAAGACCCCTTTGGGGAGTTTGCACCGGATACAAGTTTCTCCTGGTTCCAAACAAGTGACAAGAGCTGCTAAGTATTTTAAAATTTAATCGAATAGTTCTTTGTAAGGCACCCCTACACGATCATGTTTCTTTCAGTCCTTACCATATTTTCAAAAAGCTGTGCGCAGCCTGGGCAGCATAGCAAGACGTCCTCTCAACAAAAAATAAAAATAATTAGCCAGGCGTAATGGCAGGCTCCCGTGGTCCCAGCTGCTCGGGAGGCTGAGGAGGGAGGATCACTTGAGCCCAGGAGGTCGAGGCTGCAAGGAGCTATTGCACCACTGCATTCCAGCCTGGCAACAGAGCGACACCCTGTGTCACAAACAGCAGCAGCAACAATAAAACTGCAGCTTTTGGTGCTGGAAACCTGAAACTGTCCTCTCATGGCTGCTGTTGTGTTACACAGACTTTCCCCTCTTCTCAGTACACTCCCTGTTTTTTTGTCTTACCTCCTTCCTTCCCACTTTCTTTCCCTTCTTCTCTCTTTCTGTTCTCCTCCTACTTCTCTTTGGCTGTTCCTTACTTTCACCTGCTTGGCCTCCTTCTCTTTACCCTTCTCTTCCTCTTGTAACTGAGGAGTTTAATTATGTTAATTCCTCAAAAAGTTTACCGGGTGCGTTGGCTCATGCCTGTGATCCCAGCACTTTGTGAGGCCCAGGCGGTCGGATCATGAGGTCAAGAGTTTGAGACCATCCTGGCCAACCTGGTGAAATCCCATCTCTACTAAAAATACAACAGTTTACAAAATTAGCTGGGCGTGGTGCACATGCCTGTAGTCCCAGCTACTCGGAAGGCTGAGGCAGGAGAATTGCTTGAACCCGGGAAGCAGAGGTTGCAGTGAGCCTGGCGACAGAGTGAGACTCTACCTTAAAAAAAAAAAAAAAAAAAAGCTTACCATATGGGGCCAGGTGGCTCACGCCTGTAATTCTAACACTTTGGGAGGCTGAGGAGGGCAGATTGCCTGAGCTCAGGAGTTCAAGACTATCCTGGGCAACATGGTGAAACTCTATCTCGACTAAAAACACAAAAAATTAGCCAGGCGTGGTGGCTCATGCCTGTAGTCCCAGCTATTCAGGAGGCTGAGGCAAGAGAATCACTTAAGCCCAGAGGCGGAGGTTACAGTGAGACAAGATTGTGCCACTGCACTCCAGCCTGGGCGACGCAGCGAGACTCCATCTCAGCAACAACAAAACAAACAACCCCCCAAAAAACCACTCACGGAGTGGAAAAAAATATTCACAAACTATGCATCTCACGAAAGACTAATATAGAGAATCTATAAGACATTCTCACAGGAGTTAGAAGACATTCTCACAGGAGTAAGTTGACACTTCATTGTGGTTTTAATTTGCATTTCCTGATAATTGGTGATGTTGAACCATTTTCATGTTTATCGGCTGTTTGCATATCTTTTTTTTTTTGGTGTCTGTAATGAAAATTTATTTTTATGTTTTTTTTTTGAACTTGTTAGTTCAGTTTATTTTTTTCATAAGTAATTGGGGTACAGGTGGTATTTGGTCACGAGTAAGTTCTTCGTTGATGATTTCTGAGATTTTGGTGCATCCATCACCCAAGCAGTATACACTGCACCATATTTGTAGTCTTTCATCTTTCACCTCCTCCCTTTCTTTCCCCCAAGTCCCCAAGTCCATTGTATCATTTTTATGCCTTTGTGTCCTTGTAGCTTAGCTCCCACATCAGTGAGAACATGTAACATTTGGTTTTCCATTTTGGAGTTACTTTACTTAGAATAACAGTCTCCAATCTCATTCAGGTCACTGCAAATGCTGTTTTCATTCCTTTTTATGGCTACATAGTAGCATCGTATTCCATTGTGTATATATACACCACAGTTTCTTCATCCATTCATTGATTGATGGGCGTTTGGGTTCATTCTGCAATTTTGCTGTTGTAAATTGTGCCACTATAAACATGCGTAAGCAAGTATCCTTTTCAGATATTGACTTCTTTTCCTCTGGGTAGATATCCAGTAGGGGGATTGCTGGATCAAATTGTAGTTCTACTTTTAGTTCTTTAAGGAATCTTCACACTGTTTTCCACAGCAGCTATACTAGTTTGCATTCCCACCAGCAGTATAAGAGTGTTCCCTGACTACCGCATCCATGCCAACATCCACTGTTTTCTTTTTTTTCTTTTTGATTATGGCCATTCTTGCAGGAGTGAGGTGGTAATGCATTGTGGTTTCGATGTGTGTTTCTCTAATCATTTGTGATGTTGAGCATTTTTTCATGTTTTTTGGCCACTTGTATATCCTGATTAGATAAAATACTGCACTTTACTCTGAGCCTGCTCCTGAAATTGTCTTCCCTTCAGAGATTCCTTACAGTGTGAGTGTTGTTGGTATGTGTAAAGTATATAAGCCAGTTGTGACTGAATGGAACTGGTTGCCAAGGATGGCCCCTCATGACTACAGTCACAGTAACCACAGCTTGTGGAGTCCTCTCCTTTTGATTAGGGCTGTCTGTGTGTCTCACCTTGATCAATGCAATGCTATAGAAGTGACAATGTTTGCCACTCAGAGGTAGGCCCTGTGACGCTGTGCACCTTCTCCATGAGCCTCTTGAAAGGCTTTCCTTGGAGAAGGCTAATCACATTCATTAAGTCCAAGAACCATGAGACTTTCATTATTTTAGGAAATTCAAGGCATGAATGGGGAGGTGAGGTAGTGAAGGAGATAAACAACCAGTTTCCATGTGTTCAACCAGCCCTAGTGCTGAGTTGGACATAAATAAAGCATCACCTGGAACCCAACCTAAAAGATCCCTCTGAAAACATGACTCCCATCACATGGTCTACCACTCATACAAGTTCAGTAAATCTTTAAAGCTGGGAGATATCAAAATAAATGATTGCTTTTAGCCAATATGTGTTGGAAGGTTTGCTATGCTGTAATTAGTCACTGGAACAGCAGCAAAGCAGGGTCTGCTGGTTATGTTCGTGTGCATGAATTGTGTCTATTTCAATAATAATCTACATGTTGTCTGATCTAACACCATGACCATTTATTTTCAGATAGAAACCCCTGTATTCTGCCCATATAAAATGGAAAAATCTTCAAATGTTTGCACATAAGGATAACTGGGATTCCTCAAGGGAAATCACTGGGCTCCAGTGATTCTCTGTTACTTGAATTGAAAACTTCATACGCAAAATTTGTCATCTTTTTCTTCAGTTTATTCACAGCAGCCCTCACAAAGCCAGGCACAGTGTCCATACACAATAAACATCCTGAGAACAATGGAAAAATTAAGAAATTCCATATGATTTTCCTTAAGTTACAGTTTCTTCCCAAAGCCACCAGGTACACCTGCATGGCTGTAAACAGCTACCTAACATTTCAGTACTGTGAATCATCTGAGATTGAGTAAGTATTTTGGTTCAGACTGTCTGACGTCAACTACGTCCCACAGAAGAATGCTGTTTCTAATGTCTTCTCAAACAATTCAGGGACCTTTTCCCTCACTCCTTTTGTCATTGGAAGGTTTTTATTCCCTTTGATTGCATGATGTCTCCCATAGAATGCCCTGGCCCCTCTTGGGGATGACCACTTCCTCTTTCCCCTTCTTAAAGCAAGAGTCAAATCATGCAAGGTTTGGCGCAGTTTTAATGACCAAGTGTAGAGGAAGGGGTGATGAGAGATTATTCTGTTAGCAGGCTCTGGGAATTCCATGGTTAGGTAGAAAGAAGGATTCCTCAACAATGAGGAGTGTGATCATCTCCTTCAGTAGTAGACACTCACTGAAGACAAGGAGACATCTCTCCACACGCGCATCATCTTCACAGATGATGGCGGGAGTCGGTGGCCAAAGCCATAAACGCGTTCGCCATTTATTGTTACCTACAAGAGGAAAAATGCAGCAGAAAGTATGTCACCAAACAAGCTTTCAGCCTCCTCTCTATTCTGCCTTAGTACCAATAATATTCCCCAAGAAAACTCCTAGTTATACAAGTGAACCTAATAAGCACACTCCTGTTTACAGATGACGTTTTGTGCCTATTTGAGAAAGTTGCTGACTTTATTTTTTTTGTTTCCTCTAGTGAAGTTCTACACTCTATGTCACGCAGTTCCTGTTTACTCAGCTTCTCTTCTGACCTAGAAGATCCCCATCACCAGGGACTTTGTGACAGGAGCTTGAGACCCTGTATCTTGCACAGAGCCTGCCACAAGGCTCATGCTAGACCATGTCCATTGAATGCATACTTTTCAGTTCCATGAACTGACTGCCTTTTACTACTGACGGCATAGTTCCTCTTTGGAGCAGCCTACGTGTGAGGTGGAGTGGCAAAGAATGAAACCCAGTGTTCTTAGAGAGTTAAAAGAGGATAGGTGTTATAAAACATAGGATATTATCTTCAACCACTTCTAAGCATAGGAAAAGATCCCGCACTTGAATCTGAATAAAATGTGAATCTTTTGGCCTACTTATTAGAGAAAGCCAGAAAGTATGGATATATTTTTTATACTGAGGTTATAGTACAAATCACCTTACCAGTATTAATTTTTTTCACATTTAAAATGCACACATTTTTGAACCAGTTTTTTCATTTCTTTATAAATATCTTCCAACATAAGTGTTTGGAGATTAATAATGAGAAAAGGATTGATTAGAAAGCTTAATACAGCATTATTTGTGAGAGCAAAATAGTGAAAACAACTTTAGTGCCCAAAAAAGGGTCAAGTTCAATAATTTTGAGTAAAATTTTTAGTGCAATATTATGCAATCTTTAAAAAGTGAAGCAGCACGTGCCTGTAATCCCAGCTACTCGGGAGGCTGAGGCAGGAGAATTGCCTGAACCCAGGAGGCGGAGGTTGCGGTGAGCCGAGATCGGGCCATTGCACTCCAGCCTGGGTAACAAGAGCGAAACTCCGTCTCAAAAAAAAAAAAAAAAAAAAAAAAAAACTGAAGCAGCACCATGGATTGATAATGTCTTCAAGATATATTCTTTGACAACGAATCCACTTAGTTCCTAAAGCATAATGTGTAGAGCAACGTATATAAGAATTTGCTTTAAAACAGATAAAGTTATAGACATATCTATATGCTTACATGGGCAAAGATTTCCTCTGAAGGGCTAGGCATGGTGGCTTATTCCTGTAGTCCCAGTATTTTGGCAGGCCGAGGTGGGTGGATCACTTGAGGTCAGGAGATCAAGACCAGCCTGGCCAACATGGTGAAACCCCGTATCTTTTAAAAATACAAAATTTAGCCAGGCGTGGTGGCCAGTGCCTGTAATCCCAGCTACTTGGGAGGCTAAGGCAAGGGAATTGTCTAAATCTGGGAGGTGGAGATTGCAGTGAGCTGAGATCATGCCACTGCCTCCAACCTGGATGACAAAGTGAGATTCTGTCCAAAGAAAGAGAAAGAAAGAAGAAGGAAGGAAGGAAGGGAGGGAGGGAGGGAGGAAGTAATGAAGGAAAGGAAGGAGAAAAGATTCTCACTGAAGGAGAGCAGAGCTCTGGAAATGTTGTTCTTATGAGTACAATTGGGTCCCAAAAGTGAGACAAACGAACTTACTTTTTGAATGATTAAAACGACTTTTTTCTTAAGTATATTGTATTCATTCAGCTAAAATGAAAATTTAAATAATGGAATAAGTAGAAATGAGCACTATGGGAAAAGACAGAGGAGATTCTCTACTGGGAGAAATGTCAGGTGAGCTGACCTTGACCTCGGTCAGATTTCGGAACTCGCTGAGGATGGCAGTGCAAGCACAGCATGCTCTGTGATGAAAACCTGGGGCGGGACTAGTTATGGGAGATGGGTCCTGAGGAACTGGTGGGGCCAGGTCAATAAGAGCTGCCTCCCGCTCTGGGAACCCACAGAGGCCAGATGCTGGGAGCTCCTGGGGTGCTCACCTGGTACTCATCGTGACGCACGTAGATGTGCACCTCAAATGGCATGCCATCCTGAAAAGGCACATGGTCAGATTTCTCTTCCCACTTCCACACTTCACACTCACGACTGTTCATGACCACACAATGGCCGAAGTACACTCGGAAATGGAAGGCTATTCCTGAGTCTCCATCCGTGTCAGTGCAGAAATCCACCTGCAGCTGTGGGTCATTGCTGAGGGCAAAGCACACAGCATTTTGGGAATGTCCCCCTCTTGTGCAGACACACACTTGACATACAACAAATCCCTTCCACACTTTACCCAGGGCAAAAGTCATAGCTCACTGATACTGCAGGCCTGGTCCCTGTGGGGATGCTTCAGCCCCTCGTGCCCCCAGCTAGGAAGATGCTGTGCTCCTCATTCCCAGATGAAAACTGAGCCACAGTCATTTACTTGGGCCTATGACTTGTTCATTCCCTGAAAATTCAATGCCCCTTGATGAAGGGCTCCAATTCCAGCCCACTGAGTGTTCTCCTCCCCTAGGCCCCGTGGCTGGCCCACATGCAGTTGCTGCAGGTCTGATGCCGGGTGCTGGAGGGTCTCCAGGACCTGCACCTGCATGAAGCCTCCATCCTGCCAGCTAGACATTTCCACATCACTCACACATAACATCAAGCCCTTAGCAAATATTCTCCCTTCTCCACCCCCTCCATTGGACCATGTTATACTCACACAAAAGAGAGGTTCGGTCTCCCTCTGATTATCACGCAGGAACCAAAATACAAGGACAAAGGCTGTATGTATGGCACCTGCCAAGGTATTGAGGGTGAGTGAGAGGTGCAGGGTCAGGTGCAGCCTCCCCTCCTATAACAGATTCCCATGGTGCAGGAGGTTAGAGATCAAAGGGCAGACTCCAAGGCCTCCCCCTTTCACCCTTCCACAGTCAGGGCCTCTTATTCCTGAAGAGATGGTGGACCCATAGGTAAGATCAAGGGTTCAGGATCCAGGATGCCTGGATTCCGGTCCTCATTCTGCCTCTTAACAAGCAGTGCAATCTTAGATCCACTACTTGAATGCTCCCTGCCTCAGTTTCCCCAGAACAAGGAGGATTATTGGGAATTTCTACTTTGTAGGGTGTTTTCAGTAATAGAGCAGTTAATATATGCAAAACTTTTACCCTAATCCCTGTCATGTGTAGGGCGTGTTAGGGGTGACCTAGCAGAACAGGGGAGTCCTCCTGAAACACTGACCTGCCTTCATTTTCAACTCGGAAAATTAAAACAAGACTTGAGGATGTAAGAATTTAACAAATTGTCTCCAGTGAGAAACAACACTTGTTGAAAGAGAAAGGGAAATGATAAAAGAACAGGAAACCCCTGTGCGAGGGATGCACATGCATCACAACCATCAAGGGCAATGGACGTCCTTCCCAGAAGGGGACACATTGCTGAGAGCACAGCCCCAGGGCTTGCACAAATGAAGCCTGTGGGTCAGGGACATAACTGGAGGGAATCATTAATTTCTATGACGACTACAAGTGGTTGATAATTTTTCTGAATTTCTGAGATAGGGTCTTGCTCTGTTGCCCAGGCTGACATGCAGTGGGTGCAGTCATAGCTCACTGAAACCATGAACTCCTGGGTGGCAGTGATTCTCATATACCTGCCCCCCTCTTGAGTAGCTAGGCTGAAAGGTGCCTGTCACTCTGCCAGTCTGATATTTACAATTTTTAAAAGAAAGGTCTCACTATAATGCCCAGAGTGGTCTCAAACTTCTGGCCTCAAGTTATTCTCCCATCTTTGCCTCCCAAATTGGTGGGATTATAGCCATGAGCCAGTGAATGCAGATACTTGGTTGATTAATATCCACTGTAAGCTCTGCCTGAACTGAGACTAAACTTGTTCCTTCATGGGTGGTGGAATAAGTTTAGTCTCAGTTGAGACAAAGCTTACAGTGAATATTTTGCTTGAATCAGTCTCTGAAACCACAGCCTCTAATGTCCTTCCCTAGCAAATCAGTATCTCCAAACTCTCTTGTCCCACAATGCAAAGAACAGACTGGGCTGGGATAGGGAAGCTGAGCCTGGGAGGCACAAGCCAGTGATCACTCTGTGCAGTCCCCACCTGAGGAATCATCACCCCCTAGTCTGCATTCCTCTTCTCATTCTTACTGGGAAGAGACATCTACTGATCATGCATTCCACTCTCATAAGTGATCTGTAATGAGTCCTTGGTAACTCACAACCCCCAAGATCCCCACTAGTTAAGCCACTTGGAATCCCCATTGAGACACATGAAAGGACACACACCTGCTTTATCAGAGGCGCTGCTCTGTGGGGGAAGCACCTTCACATGCACAGAGGGCCACATGCACGTTCCCAGCTCAATACCCAGTCACATTCCAGCACCCACACCTACAGACAAACAGAACCATGCCACTCACTGAGTCACACGCACCTGCTCCCCATGCACATAAAGATGCTCATGCAATGGTCTGGCAGTGATCACACACAGATTCGCATCACAGACAGGAAGACAAGGTGCACTCACCCCTTACACTCACACACACACCTGCACATCCTGGTTGACCGTCCACCTCCCACCTAAAGTCACATCATCTCAGCAGAATTCACTCTCATCAGATACCATGACATGCTCAGAGGGTTACACTGGTCCAGGGTCCATACCCCACACCCCACAGGCATCTCAGATACCATAGCCTGAAAGTTCCTCTTCCAAAACCCACAGCCCTCAGTAAAGCATTCACAGTAGGAATGCTCACATTTTCATCTCATCAAATCTCCCCTGTTTCCTTCTTGGTTTATGTTACTTGAGATTATGGAAGGCTGTGCCTTATCAACTCACGGGTAGTGGTGGCATTGTTCTCTTCCTCTGAGTGACTCTTCAGAATTCTGTCCTGTCTTCTGTGTAAATCTCTTGAGTTGCAGCATTTAAATGATCCCTTTCATCCCTGCCCTCTGGCTTTATTGCAGATTTCATGCTCCTCCCAGAGAGCTTTCCTTGTAGCATTAGAAAGGCTCAGGGGTCAGGGAAGAAACTCAGTCACAACCATAGCTGTTTGCAGGTCTGTTTCTGTAATGCAGCAGAAATGACAGTGGGAGGTACCAGGTTTTGGATTGGGTTACCAGGGACATGCATCAATAAGGATGATGGATTAAGGGGTAGTGATTGTAAAGCCCAGGTTTATGCCTCTCAAGCCTTTTCTCCACTATGCAGAATCTACCCAGAAAGTGTACATTTTCCCAATTTGTACAATGGCTAAAAAAAAGTTGGGGATTCTGGAGAAAGACATTTGCCCTAGAAGGTAATTCTTTTTGTCTTTGAAGGTTCTAGGAAAGCACTGACCTTGATCCTCAGGAGGATCTGGGGAGAGAAGTAGAGAAAGTTCTTTCATGAACCTGCCCCATACTAGTTGCCTTGGTTCTGCCAGATGAGGGCCACTCTCATCTGTCTGTCACTCACCTGGGCTCTAAGTACACCCTCTCTTTTCCCTTGTTCATGTAAATCAAAGTTTCAGAGACACTGTTTTTCCTGCGGATTCTGGGAGAAAAATGAGATTGGTTTTTCTCTTTCATTTTTTTAAACTTTTATTTAAGTTCAGGGATACATATGCAGATAAAGTTGTGTCATGGGGTTTGTGGTGCATATGGTTTTTTCATCTGGGTACTAAGCATAGTAGCTGATAGTTATTTTTTCTGCTCTCGTCCCACTTTTCATCCTCCATCCTCAAGTAAGCCCCAGTGTGGGTTGGCCTCCTCTCGGTGTCCATGAGTTTCATCATTTAGTTCACACTTATAAAACACTCAGTATTTGGTTTTCTGTTCCTGCATTAGTTTGCTAAGAATAATGGCCTCCATCTCCAACCATGTTTCTGCAAAAGACATAGACTAATTTTTAGGGCTGCATAGTATTCCGTTGGGTATATGTACCACATTTTGCATATCCAGTCTGTTCTTGATGGGCATTTGGGTTCATTCCATGCCTTTGCTATTGCGCATAGTGTTGCAATGAACATCCATGTGCATATATCTTTATGACAGAATGATTACTATTTTTCTGGTTATATATCCAGTGATGGGATTGATGCGTTGAATGGTAGTTCTGTTGTTAGCTCTTTGAGGAATCACCATACTGCTTTCCACAATGGGTGAACTAATTTACACTGCCACCAACAACATGTAAGTGCTCCCTTTCTCCACAACCTTGCCAGCATCTGTACTTTTTTGACTTTTTAATAAGAGCCATTCTGACTGATGTGAGATGGTATCTCATTGTGGTTTTGATTTACATTTTTCTAATGTTCAGTGATGTTGAGTTTTTATAATATGCTTCTTGGACACCTGTATGTCTACTTTTGAAAAGTGTCTGTTCATGTCCTTTGCTCACCTTCTGTTGTTGTTGTTGTTGTTGTTTTAAACCAGGTCTCACTCTGACACCCAGGCTTGAGTGGTGTGACGCCATCTCAGCTCACTGCATCCTTTGGCTCCTGGGCTCAGGTGATCCTCCCAGCTCAGCCTCTGGAGTAGCTGGGACTGCAGGCATATGTCACCATGCCAGGCTAATTTTTCTATTTTTAGTGGAGACTGGTTTTGCCATGTTGCCCAGCCTGTTTTCAAATTCCTGGGCTCAAGCAATCCACCAGCCTTGGTTGCTCAATGTGGTGAAATTTCAGACATGAGCCACTGTGCTGAGCCCTTTGCCCACTTTTTTTTTTATGGGTTTGTTTGTTTGTTTTTTGTAAAGTTGTTGAAGTTTCTTATAAATGATGAATATTAGGCCTTCTTGAGATATATAGTTTGCAAATATTTTCTCTCATTCTATAGGCTGTCTGTTTACTCTGTTGATAGTTTCCTTTGCTGTGCACAAGCTTTTTAGTTTAATTAGATCCTGTCTGTCAATTTTTGCTTTTGTCGTGATTGGTTTTAACATTTTTATTATGAAATCTTTGCCCACCCTTATGTCCTGCATGGTATTGCCTATGTTGTTTTCCAGGGTTTTTAAAGTTTTGGGTTTTACATGTAAGCCTTCAATCTATCTTGAGTTGATTTTTTTAATATGGTGTAAAGAAGGGGTCCAGTTTCAATCTTCTGCATATGGCTAGTCAGTTCTCCCAATATAATTTTTTGAATAGGGAGTCGTTTTTCTATTTCTTGTTTGGTCAGCTTTGTTGAAGATCAGATGGTTGTAGGTGCGTGGCCTCATTTCTGGGCTCTCCATTCTGTTTCATTGGTCTATGAGTCTGTTTTCATACAAATACCATGCTGTTTTAATTACAGTAGCCTTGTAGTATAGTTTGAAGTTGGGTAATATGATGCCTCCAGCTTTGTCCTTTTTCTTAGAATTGCCTTGGTTATTTGGTTCTGTTTTGGTTTCATGTGAATTTTAAAATAGTTTTTTTCCTAATTCTGTGAAGAATGTCATTTATAGTTTGATAGAAATAGCACTGCATCTGTAAATTTCTTTGGGCAGTGTGGCTGCTTTAATGATATTAATTTTTCTTATTCATAAGCATGGGACATTTTTGCATTTTTTAATATGTCATCCCTGGTTTCTTTGAGCAGTGTGTTGCCATTCTCATTGTAGCGACTTTTTACCTCATTGGTTAGCTGTATTTTTAGGTATTTTATTCTTTTTATGGCAATTGTAAATAAAATTGCATTTCTGATTTGGCCCTACTCCTATATGCTGTTTTGGCATATAGGAGTTCTAGTGATGTTTTGAACATTGATTTTGTATCCTGAAACTTTGCTAAAGTTGTTTACCAGCTTAAGGACTTTTTGGGCTGAGACTATGGGGTTTTCTAGATATAAAATTATGACATCTGCAAACAAAGCTAGTATGACATCTCTTTCTATTTAGATGCCCTTTCTTTCTTTCTCTTGCATGACTACTCTGGTCAGGACTTCCAATACCATATTGAATAGGAGTAGTGAGAGAGGACACTGCAGAAATTGTGGTTTGAAAATCCAAGTTGAAGCTCTGCTTCATTCATCATGGAGATTTTGACTATGATCTATCAAATACAAAACAAAACAGAACAAAAAAACAAAATTCTTCTCTTACTCTGTCACATTGGCCCCTCACTTGCAAATACAGGGCCGAATGCACTGGTGCTCAGCACCACGGACAGCACCACGGGGGGACCAGCTTTGAGGAACTTGAGCATCAAGGGCAATATTATCACAGTGAGAGGCTTCAACAAAAACTGAAATGCCCAAAGACCTTTGAGAATGAAGGCTTTAGAGTCCAGAAATGGCTTTCTGTGTTTTGAGCAATGCCATATTTGCTGGGAGAAGATCAGAAATTTGGGTTGTAGAGAATGCAAAAGATGTTGAGTAGGTCCCCAGAGGCGATTTAAAAAAAAAAATTCGTTGCTGAACATTGGTTTTTGAACTCTATGTCCACTCTTTGTATCTGGGATGTCATCCTGGCCACCATGATCAAAGGATAGTATTGAGATAAAAATGAGTGTAACAAATGTCCCATGTGAACTAAAATGAGTTGGTGAATATCAGTCAAGAAAGGGGAGTCACCACGTGTGTTGCAAGGCTAGTATGTAGGACTCTGTAAGCTATTCAAATAAAATGGGTGTTACCTGGGCAAGCACATAAGAAATCAAACTCATCTTCTGCTCAGGAAGTTATGGGTTCCAGGATAATCTTCATCCACTCAGAGCAAGAATTATCTAATTCCCCAAGAAATGAATTTCATGCTTGTAATGGGGTCTATAATCCATTATCAAAATAAAGAAGTGACCAAGACTGTGACAGGGATGGTGTAAGGAGGAGAGTGCACCTAATCAGAACTTGAGAGTTTCCAGTGAGAGGAGAGGAAATTTCAGTCCATACTGGAAAGAAACAAGGAAGAGAGGCATGAAGAGTGTAATTCACTGTTCATTGACACCTCAAGGTATCTGTATGTTAGGTTAAAGAAGCAATACAGAGAGAGGCATACCCATGAGTGAGGTTGGAGTTGAACGAGCTGTGGCAATTAACATGGGGAGAGAGGATGAAGATGATCAAAATGATTTTGAGATGGGCCCAGGAGAAAAAGAGGCTATTTAAAGAGACCCTCTTCAATCTGCCTTGGTTGACTTTTGGGGAATATGTTGTTTACCTTCTCCTTAGTGGTTCTCCATTTGCACTATGAAGCAGATAATCACAGCTCTTGTAGAGGGAAATGGGCTGTCATTTGTAGAGGGAATCACAGCATCTTGTAGAGGGAAATGGCGCTTCTACCATTCTGCCATCTTGGTACAAGCGCCAAGAATCTACGAATGGAGGATGAAGCCAATTGCTGCAGGGAAACATTCCCAGAGAAAATGCAAATCGGGGTTTTTTTGGTTTCCTCAATGATATGATCCATGGCTGTGGTCTATTTTCTTTTCTGTTATTGTTTGTTTGCTTGTTTGTTTGAATTTTTAACTCATGTACCAAGAGTCAATATGGTTTCTTTCATTGGGTGGATGCCTTGGTTATCCATTCAAGGAAGACCTCTTACTCCAACTTAATAAAATGTATATTCTTTAAGTACTTATGGAAACAGTGGGGGCACATATTGTGGCAGTATTTTAGGAACAGACCGTGCTGGTTTGAGCAGATGCGAGACAAGCGAGAACCCAGGCTGCATTTATGAGTGGCTCCAGTAGAGCTCCTGATGACCCCTCTTTCTTTCAGGAGTGCAACTAGGAAAAAGGTGCCATTTACTATCTTTTGGCTCTCTAAAATAGGTGTGTTCATTGCATTTTCCTATGTCTGTTTCAGTCTTGTATGTTTGATTTGTATAGGGCAAATGTATCCTTTTAGAGCATATGTTGAGAGAAACTGCACCTGATAATTGTGGTCACCTCATGGTCACCCAATAGTAATTGGATGATAAGATGCTGGACTTCAAAATGAGCCCATTCCTTTAATTGTATTACCTTCAGTTGTTCCTTACAGGTAGTGTTTTTGGTATGTGGGAAGCTTGTAAGCCCATACACACACACGTCAGTGTGGAACTGAGTAAAAACAGTTGCCAAAAATGACCCCTCAAGATCCATAAGTCAAAATAATCACAGCTTGTGGATTCCTCTTCATTTTATTTGGGCTGCCAGTGTCACTCACATTGATCAATGTAATGTCATAGAAGTGACACTGTCTGCCATTTGAAAGGCTTTCATTGATGGAAGCCAATCACCATTCATTAAGTTCAAGAACCACAAGACTCTCATGATTTGAGGAAATTCGATGCATGAATGGAGAGGTGAGGCAGGGAAAAAGATAACCAGCCAGCCCTCAGGTGTTGAACCAGCCCTAGTATTGAGTCACACATGAGTGAGGCATCCCCTGGAATCCCAGCCTACAGATCCTTCAGAAAACGTGACTCCCACCACATGATCTGCCAACCACATGAGTCCAGTAAACCTGAAAAGCTGGGAGAGAGCAGAATCAATGGTTGCGTCCAGCAAATATGTGTTGGGAGGTTTGCCGTGTTGCAATGCCTAAATGTAACAGCAAGCAGCAAAGCAGGGTCTCCTCACTGTGTCCGTGTATATGAATTGTGTCTATTCTAACAATAAACTACATATTTTCTGTTCTAAACACCATGACCACTTGTTTCCAAAGAGAAATCCCAGAATTCTGTCCGTATAAATTGGAAAAATCCTGCAAGTGTTTAGCAAAAACAATAATAAGGGTCGTTGAAGGAAAATCATTAAACTCCTGTGATTCTCTAACTACTGCTTGGAGTGAAATTTTCTTTTCTTTATTATTTTATTTATTTTTTTTTTAAGACAGGGTTTCACCATGTTGGTCAGGCTGGTCTTGAACTCCTGACCTCAGATGATCCACCCGCCTTGGCCTCCAAAATGCTTGGATTA